ACACTGATGAAAATAATGATGACTAACAGTTCTAACAGTGAGGATGAATAATCATGGGCGTGGTACAGTGAGGAAAGCTTGGCTCTGCTAGGACAAGGACCAAGTGATACAAGCACCAGAACCAGGAAGTCACATCAGCACAACTGCACAGCTCTTGGTTTAAAATGAGTTAGAGGGATTTCACACCCCCAGAGCACGGCCTCCCCAGCACTAAACCAGCTCTGGATTTCTCCAGGAGTAACAAATCCACAAAACACAGATCAACAACGGTGCAAAGCACAGAACAGCAACACAACCACATCACACGGAGCAAGCAGGGATTCTGGTGGATGTGACACGGCCCCCCCACAGACACACAAATAAGGAGAAAGTTGCTAATGAATGAAACATGTGAGGACGGCATGCCAGAATAACACACGGCATGACAGCTACACCAGCAAACCCACACACAGGCGGTTCTGAGAAGCTCTCACTATATCTGCAATGCTCAGCCTGTAACCAAGTGAGCTGTGAAGCATCAGATTGAGAGATGCACAGAATCAGAGGCAGACTGAACACCTACGGCTTTACCTGAAGACATGGTTCTTCTTTCCTAAGCTGTATTTGAAGGGGCAGCTACTGCAAAATCATTAATCTTTTTCTAATACTTCCCAACATCCTCTCTCTCCTATTCTTTTATCATCTTACTTTAGATTTAATGTCGCTTTTAAGCCTCATTTCCCACATTCTCACTCTCTCCTTTTCACACAAACAGAAAATTATCACCTGTACTGAAGCTTACAAACCAAAAGGAAAACACAGGAAGGTGACGAACCTGCGAATGGCGACATGACACATGCAACTAGGGATGGAACGGCGCCCCGCTGTGGCGAGGAGGCCTGTGTGCATCGGGGAAGCTACCAGCTACGTTACCTGGAGTTTCAAGATCATGGGTAAGGTCAGGAAAATGGGATTAAGCCGTGTTTCTACACCAAAGCTACCATTTACTATCAAGTGGGCAGCAGCAATACATGACTGTGTAGGTGGAAAATGATCGCAACTGTAATGACATAATTTCATACTGCCTGGAAGAAGGCAGTGGTGAAGCACTTCGGTACCAAAAGAAACACCAGAATAAATAATGATGGACTGCTGGGATCCTGAGGTTGGAAGCATCCAGTATGTCACTGAGGAAGAGCTAAGGATTCTTTGGAATACAGCCAGGCTTTGTGACGCAGCTCGATCAAAGTCTTTTGAACATCTGTGTTACCGATGCTGACATGTGGGGAAGAAAAATCCGAAGCTGAAAAGAAAGGATCACAACTGGAATATGGAACACGGGAAGAAGGAGCCACGGAACGCTGGACGTGGGAAGGATGGAAATGGACCATTAACAAGTCAACATCGTAGACACGAGTGAACTCGGACTAGGTCACTTCCAGCCAGATGAACGCATCATTTATTTTTCCAAACAAATCTGGAAAGCAACATAATGACCTACAGAATGAACGAAAATCAGACTGGAAGACATTTATTATTTCCCCGTGTCACAGACTTCGAGCTTTCGATAAATGCAGATTACACAGCATAAGATCTGCCTGACATAGAAGCTGGACAAAGGAAGACCAAGAAACAAGACATTATTTGTGACACATCATGGCTAGTCAACAGAACCAAGGAATTTCAGAAGGAGGTCACATGTCTTATTGCACCACAATGTCCTTATAAAGAATCTCTGCACTGGACAATATTAATAAAGGAGTTAGACAAGGATGCATACTGTCACAACACATATTCAACTTGCACACAGAACATGTAAAAAGTGAAGCTGGAATGGGAGAAGAAACAGTGGAATCGACATGAGTGGTAGAAGCATCAACATTCTACGTTCAGTAACAGCCCGAAGTCTCTGCCTTTGCAACAGTGCTCTTTGAACATATTTATGTTTCATTATTAAGCAATTTGACACTCATGGTAGTAACACACTAACTAGGAAGAGAAGAACAGAAACCGTATTTAAAATGAGTAGAGATGCACCAATTGTACTGGCCGATAAAGCAACAGCCATCAGCCAATGGTTAAAAATGAGCCGATATTTACCATCAGTTATTACCTTTATAATGGTGACCCATATTTCATGGCACACCCGCATACTAAAATCAGAAAAACGTCTGCTGTGCTGAATTATTTTAACGTTACCGAAAACAGCACTAGAAATGCATTTTGCAAACATTAACTGCTAAAATTTCATGAGCAGGCTCTACTAATAAACATTTCATCACAGCAAATGTGATTGGTCACCTTAAGGCGAGACAGTAGTAAGAGTATTAAGAGTATGAAGACAGAGTATGAAGCGCTTCTGGAAAATAAATCAGTCCCAATAAAGAAGGCTGGAGTATTGTTGAATAACGGTACTCCGTCAGTAACACGAGCGTTTGATAGTAAAGGAAAATTCAGCACAGACAATGCAAAATCAAAATATATTACTCAGAAAATGACAGAGTTTATCACACTTGATGATCAGCCCTTCACTGCTATAAATATATAAGATGTATATAGTTATAAAATATAGTGCTCTGGGACTGTTGCTGTATGCCACAATTCATGTTTTCTAACCAAAAATAAATGCTCTTCATATTTTTGGAATGGAATTTATTTATTTATTGATTTATTTGCGTGGAGTGAAACTTATTATTAAAGCAGAACCTCCCAGATAATCGGTATCGCTGTCAGTTTTCGAAATAATCACCTATCGATATCGGCCAGAAACCACCCCATCTGCGCATCACTAAAAATGGAGAAAGATTACATATGAACAACCGGGGACTTTTTGTCATATATTTCTGAAATTACAGAACGCACAATAAATTATCATTATTCGGATGCAATACGTTAGGTTAGTCACCAATGAGAATTCAAATGTATACTTTTAGTGTAATTATCCATAATATAAGCTGTTATATAGTTGTAATGGCTATTGTTTTCAAAAATGAAAAAATCAGTAAGAATATGAATACATGCTTAACTGGAATGAAGCTTGGAGGTCACGCTGAAGGTCTCAGGATTGCCATGGTTACAGGAACTTCACAAATCAACATGTCATCAAGGTCAGGAATTAAAACAGTCTTCAAATACTGCCTATTCTGTCATGATGACAGGGAGAACAGCCCAGTTAGGAGCAAAGTCATTTAGGCAAGTCAGCTCTGTCTTGTTAAATGTGCTATAACTGCTGTAATTCACATTCATTTAACCATAGTTAAGTTGATTATAATTATCTCTTTGTATCGTATTAGAAATGTTTTTTTTATTATTATTATTATTATTTACAGGCAGTTATTAATTATCTGAAAACCAAGTATGACACTTCACTCTGCTAATGTTCACGTGCATTTATGAAAGCCACTACACAAGATGGTTACTAGAGATGGTTCAAATCAGAAAAAGAATCAATGCATGTACGTAGTTTTGAGTGTGGGGGTAACAAGCAACATCTTTAACAAAATCCGTGTTGGAAACCAGCTGCACGACAATTTGAGCAAAATTTTATGACTGCAAAAATGCATCATTTCACATCACAGTGCATATGCACTGCAAATATGCATCATTTCACATCACAGTGCATATGCACTGCAAATAAGCTCTTATCTGTCTGCACTTGACTGCAGTGTTTTTACTGAAAGATCAGCTCCTCGCACATTTTAGGAAAAACAGTCCCAATACAGCAAAATTCATGAATGGAGAATCTGAAAGAGGTTTTTTTGGTTTGCAGGATATGGTCTGAAAAACATGTTAATAACAGAGTCTAACACCTTCCATCAGACCACCCCATTAAAAACCAGTATTCATCACGGCAAGTCCTTCATGTTTATGAGAGGTTAGGTCACGCCAGTCATATTATGCCATCAGCTCGTCACACGGCACCGTGTCATCAAGTGAAATCTTTCTTTTTTTTAAAAAAAAAAAAGAAGAAGCATTTCCTTGATCCACAGTAGGTTTGAAACTAAACTTAAAAAATATCTCCGATGATTCACCAGGTACCAACCATGCACTGATCTCATTTCATTCTGTCACAGTGAATGGCACACCTGCATGCACTAGGGTTCAGCAGGATGGCATCATATGAAATTAATACATCACGGAACAAAGAAATGATGACATTTCCTCGCCTTTGAGAAGCGAGGTAATAACAGACACCGCAATGACTCCGGGGCTGCTGGGTGCCGAGGGAGGGGTTGGGGGGCCTTCAGCCAAACCATTACAAAACCATTATGACCACAGATGAAATGGGGGTATAAAATGCATTGTGGGGTTTATATCAGGGCTCAGATAAAGAGTGAACAACCACAGCCTGCATTTTACACAAAAATAAATAAATAAATATAACTACTTAAATTTAATGGGCCGGTTGATGTTTTGCTGCACGTGTTTTCGGGCGCAATTTAAACTTTAAACATTATATTTGTGTTTTTCTTTTAATTTACAATTTCTGAAGTCGCAATTGTAGGTTCATAAAGTATCTTTCTAAGCGATTTAAAGTACAGCACCGTTGCACCATCGTCGAAACTCTGAGCAGCGCCTCGATACTGCAGCCAGGTTAACCTGCTTCGTCTGACTTTGTGACAGCTGACAGTTTTACAGTCATGAAGCATTTAAAGCGCGGTTCTTAGATACAGCCGCCATCATATTTTCCCGACGCACCTTATAAAACCACATATATCCACCTGTAGATTCCTTCATTTATTAATGTCTTTATGAATTAGATGCGCACACGAACGAAGATGTAATCTAGAAACAGCTATTGACTTGACTCAGAAATGTCGCCATAGAGGACATTTTCGTAAAACCTAGCAAATACATAAAAGTAACGCAATTTAACCACCATCCTTTTAAACATAAATACTTAGGACACATGAGCTATTAAGTTCTTTAAAAAATAAAGTCTGCAACTAGTTTAAGTAAGCCAGTTACAGACAATCCGAAATGTGGATGATGCACGATACACTGTTGAGACATTAACTTACTCCGGATGGAATCAATCAGCCGCGCAGTGATGCTCTTAAACAGCAAAAGAAAAACAAAAAGGCGTTTCCTTATCCCGGTGTCTGTAGCCTTTTCTCACGTTCTTTTGGATTTGAAAATTATCCTTTTGTAAAAGTCCCTTCTTCTTTTTCCCGAGTAATACAAATATGTTGCTGGAGCTACTAAATTATTAACAGTTCGTTCTGAATGATCTGAAACGCGTATCAGTGACAGTAAATTGGATATAAGGTTTATTCTGTGCGCCGGGCAATCGGCCCGATTCGCCCGCTCGTACGTGCAGACTCGCCGGGCTGGGAATGGAAACGCCTTCCCCGTCTCTGCCGTCCGCTCCTCTTCCCGAGTCACACGGCTCTGTAATTCTTCCTTTCCCACCGCACATACATTTCTCCAAGCTGATGTCACGGCTCTTTATCCGGTTTGTAAACTCCTCCTCTTTTTTATTTTTCCTTTTTCACGGTCGATCCACTTTCCCCGATCCTTCATATTTTCTATTACGGAGTGTGAACAGCTCAAGGTTTTCTCCGTGGGAGGTTATAAACACGGGGACGGCGATGCATTTTCCGGCGAGATGCTCTCTGTTAAAACTGGGAATTTACAATGATAAAGTTTAAACACATTTGGGTGGGGCCTGATATATATATCTTAGCTGTTTATTTTTTTTATTATTATTTTTTTTTTTTTTTACAAATAATGCCTTACCGTGTGTTTATGAGAAACGTGAATGAGTGGGATATTTTTTAAATAACAGAAATAAATTAAATCATGCCTGAACCCCTGACTTTCGGTGTTGTCCTTTTCCCCTCTAGAGAACGTAACGCCCCCCACTTCTGTTTGCCAAGATCAAGGACGTCTTTTCACCTAAATAGCTTAAAGGCTATTCACAGTAATTCATCTGTTACTCACTTTTTTAGGCAGATGAATTCGATCAAATAAGGAGTTTGATGCTAGCGTGCAATGCGGAAATTCTCTGAATGGGGAGTTAACATGCTTTTTAATCATGGTCTGATGAGCAATCTTCCCCTGCGGTTGCTCCGCTGTCTGGGTTATTCAATGAAACCATTTCAGGGGAATGATTCAGATGAAAAGACAAACAAAGGAAATGCATAATACTGACCTCTCTTTCATAAACATCTCCCTCTCAGACACACACTGTCTCAATTTGCAAATCTGCATCTGCTTTTCTGTGCTCATATACACTTAGACCTCTGTGTGCCTGCAATATAATGCCTTCACAGTGAGCTAATTAACTAAGAGTCAGTACTGAGGCATCCATTAACCCACCAATTTCCTAGCAAATTAGTCCTCCACACTTTTCAACAGTGCTTCCATCATGGCCAAAGTATTAAATACACCTCATTCACTTTACACCCAGAGTAACAGTAAATGAACTCAAATACATTGCATTTTATTACAAAGACATATCGACCATACTCCCATAGAAATGCATGCACTGTAATAAATTTCCATTGAGGTAAATACTTGCAATACAATGTACTGGTACTGTTATGTGCATTTACAGGGGCTGCAAACTCAATCAGACATGCTGTTCATTAGAGGGACCAAGAGCTGATGCACAGCTGCAAATGTCACATTAGTAATCATCACATTCAGTGAATAACAGTCCCATTCCTTATAATGTACAATATTGCTACTGTCTGTCTGGCCATTTTTCTCTGTGTTATTGCGATTCTCTAATCTTCTCTCTCCTCAGTGCACACAGTTTCCTTCTCAAAGTAATATTTATCACCAGGACACGGGAACATTTTTGATTTTCTGTGTGTAGTTTACTTAATCAAGCGGAATGCAGACTAACAGTGACCAAAATCAGTTTGTCACACTGTCACGCATTCTTCCCCGGCCTGCCCACCTGTGGTGAATGGAAATATAATCCAAGTCTTAAAAACATTTATGAACCTTGGAAAGTCCTCTAGTTCACTGTGGCGGTTATTCCGACACAATCGTAACAGCCCAAGCTAACAAAAAGGTATGATGTATTTAAATGTTTCAGCACAAACTTTCCACCCCAGCGAACTTTCCGCCTCTCGGATTTATAGAGATATGGGAAGTGAGGAGAAAAAGCTGTAACCCATAAATCCAAGCTGTGATTGGACGAGAAGGGAGGACACGAGCCGTGTGAACAGGAAATGTAATGATACACATGGAACTGAAAACCACAAAAGCAATAAGGGCATAATCAACAGATTATCTCTCCAGTGAGGAAGCTGAGGCGGTACAGAGCAGCGTGTAATGAGAGTATTAACTACAGGCTGGCACCGGGGGGCGATGGTGACACATCCCTAATGGAACATGTGATGGTGGTGGGGTTCAGAGGTGACAGGAAACTGGAGGCGCTAACAAGGAGAAGGTGAGATACCTTCTAAAGGAGAAGGTGAGATACCTTCTAAAGGAGAAGGTGAGATACCTTCTAAAGGCTCCGTGGCAAGTCAACAGCCTGGCACAGGGGAGTGTGCTACGAGGACAGGGACACGGGAGATACGCTTCTCCATCCGTCATCTTTACACCACTTACCTGGTACAAAGGGGGGCGAGAACCTACTCCAGCCAGCAGGGGGCGCACCGCCGAACACAGGGAACACACTGTGTAGGATGCCAGTCCATCGCGGGACACTTGTTAATCCCTAAGTCAGAGTAGGAGAGAAGCTTGGTTAAACCCCGACTGAGTTTACGGCTGACTGGTTTTCCATCCGCTACCGTTGCCTGAAACCATTCTAAGGAATGGTGTGCAGCGTGAAAACTGAGGGTGAACAATAGTGATCAGCCACAGCCTGCGCAATGTAAGCAAGGTGTATGATGGTGAATAAGCCTAAAATGACATATATTACTAACAAAGATAAACAACAGAGAGTAACTCAGAGCTCAGGCACAGCTATCGACATTATCACCCTTCTCGGATATTCACAATTAATTTCCCTTTATTTGCACCAACAAGCCTTAGATGGGCCAATTGCACAGTGTCCATGGTGAAACATTAAAAATAAAAATACAGTTAAGCATACAAGGACACAGCAGGACATAGGAGTATAATAATTATACTACGGCACTTGTGTTAATTGAAGTTCATTTACCTTTGAAATAGTCCCAAGTTTAGCCACGGCTCGTTATGAATAATGTAACTGAATGAGTCATTTTCTTTCCCTAGTGTGAGTGCACCTGATGCAGCGGCATTCATTCCAAACAAGGTCAAAATGAAAAGGGGAAATGAATGCAATTTCCCAATAAACTTTTGTTTCCAAAATAGTGCCGGTTTTCATTCAAGTGATGCCTAATTAATACCATCTAATGGATATAAGATGCAATTTTAACTTCGTAAAATAAAATCCCTAACCCTCTCCCCTTCCAGTTCGCCCACACTACTGTGGTAAGATCTCTCCCAAACATTATCTACACCCTGCTTTGTCTTTTCTTTTCACACAGTGTACACCATGGGTGTTCTGAGACAAAGACTCGTGCAGGTTTCGCTACAAAATACAATCAGAGATCATAAAGATGAATGTTGTAGAGATGACTAAATTTGCGAAGAAGATGTGCTAAGATGTGGCGATGAAATGTACTGCAGATTATGGTCTCTGCATCATTGGTGTGTTTGAATGGTGCTCAGAAAATGATGGAGATTCCCTAGATGGCTGCCAGTTTTTTAGGGGTACGCCTTGAAGAGAGACGGCATTCACAGCGTGCGGGCTGGTGCCAAACTTCCGTTGAATAACTTAGCTATTAGTCTGATGACTAACCAGAGCCAGACAGCAAACCAGTTTAACTGACCATCTGCTAGATGCTTGGTGTCGTCACCTAGGATCCAAACAATTGATCCAGTGTCTGTTAATCATAGAGGTCTCTTGTCTCCTATAATATCTTAATACACATCAAGTTAGAACCTCTGTCACATGATGCCTGTCATGACAAGCTAAAGTTCAGGCTCCGGAACCTAATTAACTCCTCATGCACTACTAATTAATGATCTCATAACTGACTTAAGTCTCAGTTTCTTACCTGACAGTAAACTGCCTTAAACAAAATGACTCCATGGCACTAAATCTATCTTCTCTGGGTATATTTATAAACAAAACCCCTGTCCGAATCACAAGTTGGTGGTGGTGTATTTCAGTTGAATGTAGGAGTCTCTGAGAAGTTGGGTTATAGATTTAACACATCTGACATCCTGGTCCGTAACGCTGCATTCACTTCTATTCTTGACTCTTAATGTTCTGCAGAATGTAGGTTCTGCTCATTTCTGTAATCATACTTCGATCCTTAGTTACGGTTTTCCTGTGGAATCTGTATCCTCTGAATCCTGCAGGCTCACATCACACTCTCTTAACGTTTGAGGTACAACTAATCATAAGCTTTGCTACTGTATCAGTTCTTAATGATAATCAATCTATTACTTCAATGACCACAGCAGCCCTTATATTAACAGGCATGCACACTCATTCAGCCGGATCGGTGAGGCCTTTCTGAACTTGAGCAGGTATCTGTAATAAGTGAGCATTTGCTTCCTGGTCGCCTAGACTCCACTTAAAAAGGAAGAATTAATGATAAGAAATAAGCAATGCAGTATATCGATCGTACTCCTGAACAAGCTTCAGGCAAACTAGAATGTTCAGCTAAATTTAAGCTCTTCAAGATCACCTTTCTATTTCTATTACGTGTTATTAACTTTGGATGAACCATCCTATCAGTGCTAATGCTCTTGCTTTGCATATGACCCAGGAATAGTGTGCAGCACAGTGTGTCTGGAATGATTCAAACCCTGAGCTTGACCCTCGCTGCTCCAGGGAAGCTGGTCGACCCTGCTCTCTGACCCCAAGATTTCTCCGCTTGTATGTCACTTTGGAGAAAAGCATCTGCTTGATAAGTAAATCTGTTGTTGCAGTGCTGTCCCTGCTCATGCCTGTTGCAGTGCTGTCACTGCTCCTGCCAGTGTTCCCAGCTGCCTCTCGCTCCTCGTGATGCCGCCAGGGCGTTTTTACAGTTCTGACTCTGCTGACGTGCACTGTCGCTTTTCTACTCCACACTCACTCGTACACTTTCATTATTCCGTCCCCCCCTGCGGGATGAGCCACTCGGAGGTCCAGGTACAAGGGCGCCCCCTGCCTGCGTACCGCCTACCTGTGTTTCTGCCTGCCTGCATCGCCCCCCCCCCCTGCATTGCCACCCCAGCGGCCCATATGCCTGCCTGCTCCATGATTCGCCTACATACCTGTGCTGTCCCACCATCTGCCTGATTTTACCTGCACTAATTTATGTAGACTGGCATTGCCCAGTGCCCGCCAGAGGAGGCGGGGCTTCCCCCGTCAGTCTGCCTCCTCCCAGGGCTTCTTCCTCTCTCTGGGGAAGCTTTTCCTTTGCCAGTTGTCACCTCAGACTCCGGAGTCCTCATACATTTTAGCGATGCT